TACTATTTGACTGGCAATGCCCCTTCAGAAGTATGTCACAAAGTCCTAAAAAATAATTAATGAAATAAGGTAATACAACATGAAACCCATTCATGGACACCAACCTCCTAGACAATGACTAAAACCAAGGAAAAACTTTCTGCACACTTCTCAGGCTCAAACCAGAAGCTAGGCTAAACCTATGGAAAGCAAAAACGACACACCTTGCCAAATGGATGAATGCTGAGGGATGTGCCCCTCCCCCCAGGACAAGACTCTAACAAAACCATCTCGAAATCACTTAATAGGCTACAAAGCTAAGTAGGGAGATCAAATACAGGACAAATTTTCTGTGACTGGGGAAAATTCATTAATGCAGCATTTTTGTACATGTAATATATGCCCTGTCAGCTGAGCTAATGCTAAGTAGCCTGCTGCTGGTCAAAAATTCTCTAACTATTTTAATTTTTAATTAATTAATTAATTAATTAAAATTTTGCAACCCTCTGATACAAATAAAGAAAAAAATTAAAAACTTTCAAAGGCTCTGGATTCCACTGTCACTCTTACAATACAGTCTTGCATATGCCTACCCAGAAGTCCTAAATTCTACAGGACTTGCTTCCAGGTGAACTCTCCCATTGCATGTTGAATGGCTCAAGTAGGGTTCCTAAATGGTCATTTAACTATACAAGTAGGATAGGGTATCAGACTGGCATAGCTTAAGCTTTCGAACTGCCTCATGTGTCCTTAAAACAGACTGTAGGCTTGCAGAATTTACTTTTTTTAATCAGAGTCCATCAAGATCCATCAGTTAAAATGAAAAATATTCACTAAAGAACTTTTCCCCCCCTTACAATTAAGGAAAAGGGGACCCTTTTGCATATTTTCAGTACAGGCTTCCCACCCCATACCCACTGCTTCTATTGAAATTACAATTCTTTTATCCACAAGCACTTTGCTGATTGCTTAGCATTCTTCATTACAGTAGTCTAATTTGGGTTGCAGAGAATACCTCTCATTTCTTGATTTTGTTTAACAAAGCAAGTCAGAAGCCTTCATTGATTTACCACAAGCAATCTAGATACTTAGCAGCCTGTTCTAGCTTTTCTTCTCACTCCCACACCAGAGCATCCTTTTAGCCTTTTAATATTTTCCCTGCTTAGATTTTTTTTGTTCCAAATTGGTGGGAAATGTTTGCTTCTCCAGGGGTGGAAACCCAGAATCTCACACAATACACTTTTCTTTATGACAAATACATTCTACCATCCTGCCATCACCAAATCCAGTGTGGTATGTATTTGGTTCTCAAGTTCCTAGCCAGATGCGAGAAGACCTTGATTTGCTCAACTTTAGCATCATTGATGCATCATATGCCTTCTGGCCATGCCCTGAGAAAAATAGGAACCTGTTTGCAAAAACTCTGTCAGCTGTGACACCCCAGACAGCTTGATTATACCTGAGCACTTGACTGCACTTAGCATATTCCTTCCCAACAGAGTCAGTTCTATACAGGAGACAGTAGGTCCTTTCCACAAAAGTCTGTATTCATGTGATCTCTATCCTTGTAAAATATCCTAGAAAGCTGACCCACAAAACAGGAAAGACGCCAGGAGCCAGTCAAGGAATGCCTTGGCATCAGTGTTCTACAATGCCAACATGCATTTTAGAACAACATTAAAAGCCCAGTACTGTATTACAATTAAACCTAAGGAACAAAGTGTTCCTGAAATAAACTATTTCACTCTTGTTATATGAATAGTGAGTCTTCATGAATAGTGATAAAAGAATCTTGGAGGTGGCACAAAATGCAGCTCCTAAAAATCTCAGACTTTAAGTCTGCAGCCCTTATGCAGTGTTCACAATGAATGGAAACAGTCCTTGAAATCCTGTTGCTGTAACATCTGCTATGTAAGGCTGATGTCATCCTTTAGGGCAGTGATTTGTTTGCATATGAAACATCTCTCAAAGTTCCAGAGATTTACATGTAAACTCTGGCATCATTGAAAAGCTGTGGGAACTAGGAGACAGGAGGGAGAAGTCTTTAATCACCAAAAATAACCACCACCAGTAGAGTTGTCCTAGTAGCAGCAATGTTTGCTAACTGAAATACAGTACCTCCCTTTCCTGTCCTATGGCTTCCACAGCTTCCCAATGATGAAAGGAAATACAGTACACAGAAGCATCAGAACAGGTCAGAAATAATGATTTTCTGAAAAATCATTGCTGCTGATGGCATCATCAGACTTAAATGGTATAAGTTACATAGGATTTCAGCCAGTATCTACTAAAGAAGGGATATAAGCTGACAGATGATGGTAGAATCTTCTACTATTTTTCTAATATTGAATAGTGGTTGATAAGCTGCCTGAGAATCACATGTAGGATGTCACACCTTTGGCACTGAACTAACTACAAAATAAATAAAATTAATTCATTATATTTTATTTATTTGATTTATACCCCGCCCAAACTAATTACAAAATAAAATATAACGAAGAAGTCTTATTCCTTCCTTGTGACTTCCAGTTCAGAATTATGAGGAAAATATATTCCAAATGTATTCTAAGCAAAAATTCATAACATGTTCATCATTAGGAAAGCAGGCCCAGCACAATTAGGGAACATACTTTGATGCATCAGCTTCCATCCATATCCAGTTAAAAGGAATCTCATGCATTCTGGGAGGAAAACCACTGCTGGAGCACTTGAGGGGGTACTGATTGCCAGGACAGACAACAGGAGTTCAGACTAAAAAAATTAGCTTTATCCACTATAAAAAAAAGTATACACATGCACAGGAAACAATTGTGGAGAAAGATGGTGTCACTCTGGTCAAATACTTTGTAGTGCAACTTGTCACTAGCAACAGGGAACATCTGTGAAGACAGTCTACTTCCAATCATGAAGAGGAAGTAGACTGAAGAGTATACTGCCTCTTGCTCTCCTTTTCCAAAACAAGCCCTAGAGGTGAATCATCAATGGCCTTGTTGAGGGCTGGTGCAGCTGGGCTAATAGTTCGTGCTGCACTACCCTCCACATGTTTCCCAACACTGAAGAAAAGAGATCAGTGATGTCATTCACTGGGATTCATATACATGATTGACTGCTGCAACACAGTAAAAGATAAAGCCAAGATAAAGCTCCGAGGAACTGTTTAGCATTTAAATCACTGAAAAATCTATTTACTTGCTTAGGCAAGATAATTGCTCTGGAAATATCTATTGAAAGGTGAGATATATACATTCATTAAATAAGTAATAAAACATGCATAACCGAGCATTATTTTAATAGGACAGCAATGCCAGAGATCTCTATTAAGAGGAGATAAAAGTATTGTAAAGTCTTAGGGAATGGCAGAAATATCTCTAGACAAGGCATAGAGAAATCAAAGGAACGGCAGCTAAACATTCCACATTCTGCTTTCTTTAACAACTCTTCTCTCTAGTCACTGCTTTATTATGCTATTGTCATATTTTTGATTTTTAGCAGAACATCCCACTCATGACAACATTGGCTAGTCAACAGTTTAACAATACAAAGCTCAAAATAAAAACACAGACAGACAAACACTAATAAATTTTGAGGAAAGAACTAGATGGTCTTCTATCATTAGATGTCTTGAACAAAGGATGCTAGCCTACAGATGCACTCGTAGGAGATATTAAAAGTTGGTGTTATTTGAACCATGTTGAAAAGCTGCGGATCTGATCCATAAACATGAAAGTTAAGTTCACATTAAAGATGTTCCAAAATATACAGTGAGGTCAACCTTTAGGGAACATCCAAAGGAAATTATTTACAGGTGAGCAGAATGCTCAGTCCATACACCTGACACACTCAATTCATACCAGCCATTGTTGGCTGTACACTGCTAATCTAAACTTGCAAGATCTGGAAACATTACATATCATCTACTACCTCAAAGAATAGAAATTAATATGCATTTACTATACAGTGGTGCCTCGCATAGCGAATGCTTCGCTATGCGATGAAACCGCACAACGATGGGTCCCGGGCCATCGCTGGAGCGTTCGCTCAGCGATGGCCCCTATGGGCTTTTTTTGCTATGCGATGATCGCGCGGACGCGATCAAAGCATAGCGAACAGCTGATCGGCAGTTCCAAAATGGCCGCCGCTAAAACAAAATGGCGACCGCTGTTTTGCCTCGCTAATGAGGCATCCAAAATGGCCGCCGATCAGCTGGGGCATCACATATGGTGTTTTTGTGAGGGCACCCATTTTGCAATACTTTTTTGAGAAGCCCATGTGGCTAAGCATTGCAGGAACTAAGCACACTTAGTGGGCACACAGGCCAATATTGTCTTGCAAAGCTCTGCAGGCACAGTATGGGTTCGAATGCTTTTCAATGGGGGGGGAGGGAAATTCACCAAAAATTAACGAAGACTCAGAACAAAGCCAAATTAAGTTTTCATAGGTTTCACAAGGTGGACTAACGATTCCAAGCATTTAAAACAGGTTTCAAACATTTTAAGACACTTTTAAATGAGCGAAAGCAGACATCGGAAAGCCATTGAAAATCATTGAATCGGCTTCAATGATATTCAATGGGGGAAATATTGTATCGCTTAGCGATGTTTCCTATGGGGATTTTCGCTTAAGGACGGTAATCCGTTCCAATTGGAACAGATTAACCGGTTTTCAATGCATTCCTATGGGAAATGGTGTTTCGCTTAACGATGTTTTCCTATAGCGATGGGTTTTTTTGAACCAATTAACATTGTTAAGCGAGACACCACTGTAGTAATAAAAAGGAACTGTTTAATTAGCAACAATCTGCCACCACTGATGACATCAGCCTTGCTCAGCTAACAAAGCTGTGCAAGCGGATTCTGGTCAATATATTGACAAACTCTTGGTGGGGTTAGAAAATCAAGTGGAGGCAGAATGAGATGAATTATTACAAAAGAGGTCATGCATGAATGGCTGAAACACTACATAAGAACAAGCCACATTGCAATGCTCTGTTGCAAGTCCCAGTTGTCTCCTTTACTACTGACCTTCCACCAGCTGGTCTAAGGTGGTAATCTTCTTTGCTCCATCAATAGTGTAGATTGTTCTCACACCCTGGGGCAAATTAACATTATCAGAGAGAGTTCGGGTCAGATCAGCCAGCAGGGCCTCAAAAGATCTAAACCGATCAGGAGAAATGGCATATACAATCCCCTTGAAATACCGGTCACCGTTGCGATAGAATCGGACTTTCTTGGCTTTCTTCTCTGAGCTGAGTGTCTGCAAAGTGCGGGTTCGGTAGAAGCTGCAGTGGGCACTGTGCGTTGGACTGGGCAGCCCATTCACTCGTGACCCTCTGCTGTACCGCTGTGCTTTATCACGCTCATCAAAGTGTTCGAGCTCCATATCTCTCCCAAAGGACATATTGAAAGTTAATCTGGAAATAAGAAGAAGAGGCAAAGCAGAAGATTATCAATGTGTGTTGCAATTATGCAGGTGCTACATTAAAAACCTGAAAAGTGATTGCTCTTCACCAACCAGTCGGAACTTATCTAACTCTTTAAAGGATGCAAGAAGATTCTGATTATTTTTAAAAAGTACTCATATGAGAGGACAGAACCAAATAAGCAACAAATATGTGTAAGATAATTTGTATTTGGTTTCAAATAACATATAGAAAGAAAATCACTCATCCTTTAGCTATTGTTTAACGATCAGAAGTCCTTTTTCGCATAATTGCACTCATCCCACAAACAAACACAGCATCAACATTTCCAATTATCTTCTGTTGGATAAGCCATGCATCAATGCTTGAGAGCTTTGCTAAATGAAACTCTCAATTTAGCAAGGAAAAAATATATCATTCCTCATTTTCACAGATGAGCCAATAGCCAATCCAGTTAATAATAATCTTAGAAAAATAATATTAGAACTGCAGAGCTGGAAGGGACCCTATGGATCATTGAGATCAGCCCCCATCCAAGAAGCACAGCAGGGGATCAAAATCCCAACCTCTGGCCCCAAAGTCAGATACCTAAACCACTGCGCAGCAGTTCTCTACTCATAGTACTCTGTACACAAGATATATTTTATATGCAGAAGTGACTTACATGCTACATGCAATAGAAAAGAAATGGATTGGAGCAGCTTCTTGAAGATAAAGAATGCTTTATGAGGGGGGAAATCTGTATAATATAACCGTATAATATTATATATTTGCCATTCTAATATGTGGCATGAAATCAGTTTGAGAACTGGATTTTGAGTAAGGGGATACAGCTGTGTTTATTTTATTTAGCTATGGGGGAAAAATCTGAATGACAGCCCAAGACAGAATCCACAACCACAGAAAGGAGGTTTACTATCCTGCGAGAAAGACTGCTTAATACTAAAGGTGACATGTTCCTCTACAAACTAGATAACATTCTACTGTATATTTGGCATCAATTAACTCTGTTTTGCCTTTAGTCTGGTTTTGCTTTGCTTTGTGTGCCATCCAATTTAATTTCAGGCTTTTCTGATGCAGGGATTCCCATATTTCTGGGTCTTTCCATTCTCAGGATCGGTATGCCTCAATAAAAAGGCAACCAACGTCTATCAATTTCATTGACGAACTGGCATCCCTTTGGTCAACAGAATGAGAAAGACAACCAATTTTGATCCCTAAGGGGAAATCTATTGCTTCTACCACATCTTAAGCTGGCTCTTTAGATATCCAGGTTTTTCTGCCCCTCTCCCCAGCAAAGCTCTGCCCACTGAAGAATTCTAAAGGACTTCAGTGTTTATCTGTTCATTATACTAAGGGTTGCTTTTTGAACAGTGCCCTTGCTAACTGGAAAATTCTGGAAGTTATAGTCCTTAAAATTATTTTTTATCCTCTGGAATTGCATGGGCTGCCTTTAAAAACAAACCTACAAACCAGCCAGGAAGTATAATAATGTACTTCCATTCCAATATTAAATTTCCCACCATTTTATAGACCTCTTATTTCCGCCTTCTCATATACCTTATAATCTGTTTTGCCACTTTAAAATTTATTTTCTTCCTCCAAGCAATGTTACCGCAACCAATCCATTATATGTGGATAGATTTAAGGTATCCTGTCTATGCAACTTGACCAGAACTAGTAATTTAACTTAAATGGAATGGCTTTTTTTTAATTGCCTAGAAAGCCCCAAGTATGACCACAAACAATCAAATTGTCACTTAGTGAATTGTGAGCACTGCTGCCTGTCTGTTAACCACCAACAATAAGAAACGCTTCAGAATAAGTGCCCCATCTTTCCTTGCCCTGACAGGGTAATACAAGTAAGAAGAGTTTGATGAAACACCGTCAAATAGTTTTTCTACCAAAGCATCACAGAATGCACGCACAGAATGTATTCACAAGAGCACAGTGGATTTTGTCCATGGTTTATTTAACAGCACTAGTTCAAATTTCCTTATTTACTGCCCTTCTTTGAAAGGAGGCTCAAAATGCAACACTATTAATGTCTTCTCAGAAGTAAGCCCTGTTAATGAAATTTCTTCCAAGTGAGCAAGAGATGGAGCTCTCTTTCCATTTCCTTTGGGGTTTTTTAAGACTCCATCTCCTAGAATTCTCCAAAAGTTCCCAAGGCAGAATTCTAGGAGGTGCAATCAAAAACACAAATCTACTGACTAGCTGTATTTACTTCCATCAGTGCCTTCTTCAGCCTGTTTCTCTTTTCAAAAGCAAGGAAGCTGGCCTGTGCTTCTTGGGAAGCATATGTCTTCCAGGGACATGTAGCCTCACTGCCCAGTAAGCTCTATAGAAGGCGGCTCCCAAAGAACCATGTATCCCAGGAAGACTTATGGCTCTCAAGAAGCACCAGAGCAGCTTCCATTTTTGTACTTTCACAACAAGAAACACAGGCCCAAGACAGACATGCAGCCTCCAAGGTAGGCCCTGTTCTAGGTGAGCAAAATATCAAGTGTCTATAGGTTTAGGTCTGTAGTCTAAAACTTCCAGAATTCTGCCTGGAGGGTTTTTAGAGAATTCCAAGAGTTAGAGCCCCCAAATTGTTGCACTTCAGCATTCTTTACCATTAGTTTATTGGACAGGGCTGCAGCTCAAAGAAGTCGGGATACTAACACTTTGGCCATTTCATTACCTATTAAGGGTGCAATTGATAAGACCACAGGCTTAATAGGTAATGAGGACTTAAGAGTTTAATTTACAGTAACACACTTTTGTTAGTTGGTTGGTTGGTTGATTTACTTGCTTGCTTGAAAACATACCTGAGAGTGGAGGGGAAGAATATTTCTTATCATCTAGATTGCTTCATAATCAAGTATTCACCAACCACATAAATCACTTGCAGGCTCAGGGTCTGAAGACACCTGGAAAAATCACACTAGACGTATTGACTGGTATCCTTACTGCAAGTCTCAAGAAGAAAGAATCAACCCATTGAATCAGTTGCTGAATATTAACACAATACAGTACTTGCATAAATACCGCTGAGTCATTGAGTCTAGTCTAGATGAGACCAGCAGTAAGATGCTACATACCTATGGGAAGCAGGAATTAGGAGTAGCTATCCTGATGTCACTAAAGGAAAGCTTGTTCCTGTTAGCCGTCTGCCTACATATCGAGGTCATCTTCCAAGGATTTCCTTCAGGTGCTCTAAAGATCTTGTCAGTTCTGGTGCACCATTTATTAAAGGGAAGCAGGATGTACAGCCCTCCAGATACTGTAAGACAGCAGCTTCCTTCATCCCTCAACACTACATATGCTGGTGATGGCTGGTGGGGAGAGAGTTGCATTCCAGCAACAACTGAAGGGAAACACACTCCCAATGTACAGAACTCCCTCTCCAACAATGTTCGCCTGGGGTAACTTTTAAGATCTTTTCAGCACAGATATTCTTGTTTTTCCAACTTATAGTTGGAAAAGTAATACACTGGTCAGTATCTTTCTGGTAACTATAGCGGATCTATTGAATCACTGCAGTTTGCCTAAGTGTTGAACGATCAGTGAAATGAATGAAACAATTGCTGAGAATTGTTTTAATATAATGCTATGTATTAACATAGGCTTTTTGTATAGTTAAACCTTCATCCCTGGAAAAAGTAAATGTATAATTTTCAAAGAATTGCCCACATTAGCCTGTCTCTGCATTAGGGACATGCGTAGGGAATACTTCTGAATTTCATTCTTTTGAGTTCTTTCAGGGGTTGCCTCTTTCATTTTCATTTCATTTTTTATTTTTGGTCCACCAGGTACCATTCCTTTTCTTAAATACTAAATGGATAGGCCCTTTTATGGGGCTTCCACTTCAGGTTTACTCTATTCAGGTTCTGTGTGGCACTTATCCAAAGCGCCACACAGAACCTGAATAAAAAAAAAACCCTACTTAAACTACTTTTAAAAAGCAGGGCCAAAGTAGGCAACAGAGAATAAATCCCAAGCCCTGAAGAACTCTTAAAAAACTACTTTGAAAAAGCAGTAAATTAAAAAATAATACCATTTTTAAAAAATCAAAATAAAAGGTAAACACCCAACACACAAACAGAGGTGGGGATACAAAATTTTAAAAATACAGGCTGCCAATTCTCTCAAAAACCAAGAGAAACACGGAAGCAAATAAAGGCAAAAAATGTAGCAAAACCTCCAAACAATTAGAATATGGGGAGATTTTATCTCCCACAACCATTTGATTCTCTTCTCTTTTTTCAGTCCACCACCGGCATGCAGCAGCATGCGCCAAGAAATAATCCATGAAAGGAAAAGAGGGGGAAAAAGAGGGGAGGAAACCCCCCAAAAAAGTCCAAGGGGGGGGAGACAAAAAGGATCCACAGGCACAGATGGATTGCATAATTAAGATGAACTGGAGATTTTTAGGGAAATTTTACACAAAAGTCCTATCCTAATTCAGCAAGAAGGCAAAAGGAAAGCCGGAGTGGGGGGAGGAAAAAAGGAAAATTTTTATAGCATGTTGAAGACTGATTTATTTCAGTGTGAGTCCTCCATAAATTGAAATCCACATCTTCAGACCTAGAAAGTGCAAATACTTTCTCCTGTGTTTATTCCACAAACAATAAGATTCACACCCAGCTAAGAATACAGTACAGATAACAGACAAGGTGAAAATGGTTCCTAACACAAGAAAGCGACTATGAAGCCAATTCTAGCCAAGACTATAAAGTAAGTAGGTGCGGCTGTCATTGGAATGATCAAAGATATTATGGGACAGAGGCCAGAGTCTGTCAAGGGAAGCAACTGGTTCATACCCATAAAATATTACTGCAAGATGGCTTATTAATATATATATAAGGCAAAATACTTTATGCCAGCCAGCATAACCCAGATCAAGTGCTTCCTATTCCCCTTCTTTTATATTCCAAGGCTTTCTAGAGCTCCCATTTCCTCTGAGGAAGTCTTTGGGAGGTTTAGGATGTGGTGGGGACCTTTTAATAATAAAATAAAAAAACAAAATACTTGCGAAATTGCCAGCAATAGGATCAGGAATGCCAACGAGGATCTGAAAGTGATTTGTTGTTGTTAAAGGCAACCCCCATCTCAAGGCTCCCCATGTCAAAAGGGAGTTCTAAAGAGCCTCCGAACCTGGAAGGGATGTGTGGGTAGGAAACTTTCCATGAGTTAAAACTGGCTGTTTCTGGTGTCTGATTGGCCAAAAGTCATGCCAATACAATTTTGCCCATTATCTCCTAAGAAGCCTTGATCTCTATTTCAGCCCTTAGAAAAGCACTGGAACTTGTTTGTGTAACAAATGTCTACTTTCTCCCTCTCAAGGCTCCTTCTTGCAATCCCTTTTTTCTATTTGTAACTACTTGGTATTGAGCTCTCATAAAAGGTCAAACAATTGGTCCATCTCACTCCATGTTGTTACAGATTGATTAAAAGCAGACTTCTAAATTTCCAGGCAGCTTTCTTTCCCTGAAATACTTGCAGTTCTCAGGAACGGAACCTGCTCCTTTTGTATGCAAGCCATCTGCTTACCTTTAAGCTACATCCCTTCTCACAGGAATATAAAGGCCCAGGGAAAAGCCTTCATAGGAAAAAAATTACATTCTACAGAGGAAACTGTCCATTGTACATTCTTATTACATTATAGAAAGACTCAACAGAATAAAATACAATCCACATACCAGAAAAAAACAAGGTAATTTATTATTCCACAGTATCAAATTGTGAAACTTTTTGCTTAACTGTTCCACTTCAGGTTATAGGTAGGAGGAACTTCACCTCAGTGTTCCTCCATGGGGATGAGAAATTCCATATTTAAAGAAAAAACTTCCAGAATATATACTGAACTGAACCTCAATATTTGAACAATCTACATGAAAGGAGTCCCTCCTGCAACCTTTATTGGGGGCGGGGGGAGGGCAAAAGCATTGAAACATTCAGTCTGTCATCAGCAGCTTCCAAGTAGTAGCAATTGTATCAATTAACAAAGCTTAATTGGGTTCTATGAAGTGACACTGGATTCAGTGGGACTTCCTTCTGAATAGATAATTAAAGGATAGAACTGGAACATTCAGGGGGAACACTAGGAAACACAATGACTTCAATCTTTTCAGCTTCCATCTACAGAAGTATTAGCCAACCCAGGTGAAATAAGAAGATACCACCATTCAAATTAATAGAAATTACTTCTTAAATGACAATTTCAGTATGATAACATAATAAACAATGAAAGCAGACATGAAAATTTTGTTCAAACTAAAAAATTCTTCCGTGATTTCTTAATAAATAACACAATTGCTATGATCTACTTTTGCTGAACTCTTCCACTTCAGGTTACTGAAGGAGCTACTGCAGGGACTACTGTAAACCTTATGCTAAAATATAAAGAATACAATTTGAAAATCTGCATCGATCCACCAAAATGTACAATGACACTTTATATAGTCATTTTGTCTATACAGAGAGATAGCCTATATTTGCAGGTTCTTAAAAAATTCTGAAGTGGCTTTTCAATTGCATTGATTTCCATTAAAACGAAGAAAATAACAGAACCAAGCTGCCTACCTCACTAATCATCAGCTGACAGTATGTGGGGAGGATAATGAAAAAGACTATTACATTTTGGGCACCTCAACAGTTTTCCTTGAAAGACCATCTAATTTCAACAGGTCCTATTTCCACATAGCTCTGATTAGAACTACAACAATTTTTAAGCACACATTAAAAAGTCATCAATAGGGTCCAGGGACCCATTTTTCAATGAGCTAAAACCAATGTTTATTCTACTTAGAGTTGTTACATGTTGTGAAGTCACAACTGACTTCACCAGTGGCACCCTGCACTGAGATTCCATGACTAAACTGGATTCAAACCCAGGTTTCTGAGTCTTGGTCCACAATTCTAGCTGGCTAGACAGCACAGTCATTTAGGTATCTGGCTGTGGACCCGTAGGTTAAGAGTTCAATTCCCAACTGTGCCTCCTGAGAGTAGAGCCAATCTGTACAGTCATGGGCAGGCTGCATAGTCCCAGGGTGCCCCCAAAGAAAGAGAATGCTAAACCACTGCTATGTATTCTGTACCTGGAAAACCCTGAAAAGTGTCGCTGAAAGTCAGAATCAACTTGAAAGCAAGTAATTATTATTAAATTAATATACACTGCACTATTCACTACACCACATTGCATCTACTAACATTAATATAGCCCAGGCATATATGCATTCAGCCTTAACTTTAAACACATATGTTATTAAGAAAATAAGAAAAGCACTTCTAGATTTGATGAATTCAGCCACCTTCATGCACTGATCACAATACAGGTACGCTATGAATTGCATGCCAAACATCCACATGTTGAGCATGGATTTCTCCAACATGTGAATCTAGACATGTAAAGAGCCAAACCAGGACCAGCACCCTTTTTGAGAAAATGTTTTTCTGGCAAACGCCAGGGATAGAAAGAGTGGTTGGAGGACTAAAATTAGGCAAGTCCACACTTTCTTCTTCTTTTATTAAAAAAAAATTCAAATTGGAAGACAACAGAGTACTTTTGGAATAAGGCTGAAGCCCACATGAAATCAGGTCAAAGACCACAGGTTGCCCACCAGCATAAGCTTCCCCGATGCACACTCAGTGCATAAATATCAGGGAGCAGAGCTGGGCCAGAGCTGAGTTAGCAGGGGTAGGGAGCTGTCCATTAGATGCACTAAGATCTCTACCCTGGTATATCTGGATGGGAGTTTATAAAAATTACTTATTTAGGTTCAGATCTTCCAAAATCCCCCAACTGGTGAACATGCTTGGAATGCAAATGAGTAACATTCTCAAGTTCCAAAACATCATGAAGGCAACCCAAAGGTCCCTCACCTGCTTTATTCAGGGGTGGACTCCTCCCAAAGATGGAAATCACACTTCAGTATTATGGCTTGTGGCCACTGATACAGCTAACCTCCAATTTGCTCCAAACTAATGGCCACTGCCAAATGTAATATTGGTCCTAAGACATGTTCAGAATGGAGCATACTCTCCTAGATCTGCTCTGTGTGGTTCTGAGTGACAGACTACTTAGCTCTCGATCAGTTCACTATCTGCTTAGTATGAATATTCCGTTATTTCCAGATTAGGCAATGGGCTAAGGGAGCATTATCAACTTCAGAATTTTCAAGTTATAGAACACACTTGTTTCAAAAATTAAGTTACAACAAGCCTGAGGTCCTACCTAATCAATGATGATGCACAGCAATAACCATGACATGGCATTTGAAGGAACACTAGAGGACCAGTTTAGGTCCACAAGCAAATGGCATTTCAAAAGAAAAACATTCTCTGATGCCAAGAATAGTTTATGTAAAGCATCCTGACACTAGTATTTAACTGTTCAGCTAAACAACGGACCTACATGTGAAAGTCTTATGACTGTGGGATGCAAGTAGGAAAAAACTGCAGAGGATTAAAAATTTAGATCTAATCAGAGAGTTACAAAAACCATGGAAGATTTTTTTTGTGTGTACATAAATAGTTTGATTTAAACAGAGCCCTTAAAATGGAAACATGATTTCATTATACTACAACATGACCATATCATTCCCAAATCTGCATGCCCATCTTATGAGTAACAGGCCACAGCTCTCAGATCACTTTGTTCAAAGATGATCTATGTAGCCTTCAAAAAAATAAATTTAGTCCAGACGGATTGGCTTAAAGAGCAAGAACATTAAAATTAAAATTTGTAGGTAATAAATCTATGCAGAGACACCGAGCACAGCCTACAGTATAATGGAACACGCCCTGCTAAGACCTTCATGCCCCACAGTTCACACCACATACATCCATTATGGGACAGATTATATATACAGTACTGCAAAAGTGGGCTGGGAATTTCACAGTATAATCAAATGCAAGTGTACCACAAATCAATAATAAATCATTCAGAGAAGAATGAACAACAGGCTCAGTTTAATAAGTCACTGGAAAATCCACCGTCCTCGGTTATATAATGGGTTTTCAAGGCATATTTTAAAATGTGATACAAGTGTTTTAAATATAGAATAATAAGCCACGTGGACCACCTAGATACATAGATATAACAGACTTTATGGCCAATTAGTGAGTGAAGATGAGAATCGCTCTTGCCTTCTTTCTCTTCCCACCCCCCTTCCATCCTCTCTTTTAAGAGATGTGACACCATCTGCCCCCATCTTAACAGTTGGTGCATGTTTTCCTTGTCTCTGCCTGCACATTTTTGCTGCAGCTATCAATGCATATAATCATGGTCTCTTCAGCAGGGTTTCTTGTCAGCTTTTATATTTATATTCTCTTCCCCCCTCCCCCAATAAGGAATATAAAATGGGCCAAGAGCAAGAAGTCAGTTGCCAAATAAAGAAATTAGCAACGATAGCTAAAAGGAGAAAATTTTTAAAAGGTGGCTGATGTGCTGCTTCTCACTGAAGTCTCCTACACAATGACAGGACCTTTTCTCCCAGACAGAGAGGGGGGGAAGAACCACCACCAGCACCTCCCCTCCATCTCTGCGCTAGGCTAGGCAGCCCAAAATGGTGCAAAATTCACAGAGCCTCACAGATGCCCGGTGGGGGAGAGAGCCAAGAGGGACACCTCTCCCCAGAACAGCCGCCTACCGAATTGCAAACGCTCCCCTCGCTCGATGCGCATCCCGAAACAATGGGGACGGTGCAGGGGAAGCCAAGGACCCGCGCAGGCTTTTTCGCACGAGAACCTTTTGCCGGCAGGGAGAGAACGCGCGGGTCGGTGGGTGGGAAGCTGCCCGCGCTCCAGGTGCCACGTGAAACGCTTACCTGCGCCTTGGAACACCTCACGCGGGCCCTTGCTCGCAACCACGGGCAGTTCGGCTTGTCTGCGGCTCAGGAGAGAGCGAGGACACCACCACTACTGCTGCCGCCGCCTCAGCCGGCTTTCGGAGGACAGAAAAAAAAGCAGCAGCCCGGCTCCGCTTCCGCCCGCCGCCGACCCGGACCACCCCAGCAGGCTCCGCTTGGCAACGCAAAAGAAGGCTCGGCCGGCTTTGTTGTGCGTCTCCTCCCGCCCCCCTTCCTTCCACTGGCTGGTGAGCGGGGCTTGCGAGCGCTCTGCCTTTCTTCTTCTCACGCCGCGTCGGGGAGTGATTTGCATTCGCCCGTCCCTCCTGAAATGCGGCTCCTCACACCCGCGCTGCCTCGCGCCCAGAGGGCGGTGCCGCCGCCGTCGCCGCCGCCCCCGCCAGCCTCCCTCCGGGCGGGTGATGAGAGACCCTCAAGAAGCCCCCTGAGAAAGCGGGCTTAGGGCGGGAGGGTCTACCGCTCCTCAGTCTCTTGCGCCTTTAGGGAGGATACGCCAAAGCTTGCAACATCCATGTCCTACATGTGTAGGGTGGCCTGGGCACATGGGGGGGGGGCAAACGGGACTAGGCTTTAATGGTTGTCCTGAGGCGAAACACTGAGCAAGGCGGAGGAGTTGCGGTGCAAGGCGCCCTGATGAAATTCCTGCTGCCACACCACCATGAAAAGGCATGGGAGACCCCCCCACACACACACACCTGTTATGTGGCCACCCAACAGCTGAGCACATCGTCAGTAGCTGAAGGAGGCAGTGTGGTGTAAGAGGTAGAGTGCCAGGCTAAGACTCAGGAAGCCTGGCTTTAAATCTCTGCTTGTCCATGGAAAATGTCTGCAGGTGACAAAGGTGGACTAGTCACTTAATGCCTCAACCGCTGGGAAAACCTCATCAGGGTTGCCATAAATTGAAGGCAACTGAGCAGCACATAACAGATATGTCCTATATGCCTCTCTGCATGGAAGCAAGTCCTATTGAGTTCAAGAGGTCTTCCTCAGAGGGAAGTGAGTGTAGCATTTCAGCCTCAGCCCTTAGACTCTTCTTCTGTCCCAAAGCTGTAAAGCTGTTGAAAGAGTGCCTCTGAACATACAAAAGTAGTGAAAATTGCAGGGGGAGGATGGACCTGTTTTCCTATATGTTTTCCTATATGTTTTCCTTTTTAGACTAGTTAGCAGCACAGGAACAATAACTGGGAAGGGAGTGCATATGAACATATGCAGAATGCCTTTCATTTCATCACAGAGAAAATATAGGCAACTCTTGGTATCCTCCTGGAGAGGCTTTCAGAACTAGGGATCAGTGGTCGGGCTTTGGCGTGGCTCCGATCCTTCCTGGAGAACCATCCCCAGAGAGTTCAGCTTGGGGAGATGTTGTTCATTCCGTGAACTCCCAATTGTGGAGTCCCGCAGGGGTCAATTATCTCCACAGTGCTATTTAATATCTATATGAGGCCGCTGGGGGAGGTCATCAGGAGTTTTGGAGCTTTTTGTCACCAATACGTGGATGACACTCAGCTCTATCTCTCCTTCCACCCTTCTGCATTAGATGCCATCCTGTCCCTTGAGCAGTGCCTGGATGCAGTGCTGAGATATATGAGGTACAACAGGCTGAGGCTGAACCCAGACAAGATGGAAATCCTGCGGGTGGGTGGGGGCCTAGTGTCTGTGATCTGAATGCCTCCCTATCTTTTTTGGGGGGCCCACTCTTTCCATGAAGGATGAGGTTCGTAGCTGGGCATGCTTTCGGACCCAACCCTGTCAATGACATCTCAGATAGCGTCTGTGGTCCGATCCGCTTATTTCCACCGTAAGCGGATTGCCCAGCTAATCCCTACTTTGACACTGGGTCCCTCACCACGCTGGTCCATGAGCTGGTAGTCTTGAGATTAGACTACTGTAATGCACACTACATGGGGCTGCCCTTTGGACTGCTATGGATACTGCAATGTGTCCAGAATGTGGTGGCCAGACTTCTGAATGGGCTTAGAAAATACCGACATATCTCCCCCCCCCGGCTGCCTTACACTGGCTACCTGTTCACTTCCATACCAGTCTCAAGGTTATGATATGAACCTATAAGGCCCTAAACTGTTTGGGACCTTGGCATCTGGCTGAGCGCCTCCTTCCAGTTAGGTCTGCCTATCCTATAAGAGTGTTGTTGGCAGGGTGGCTGAGAGTTCTGACCCCCGAGAGAGGCCCGGAAAACAAACACTAGAAATTGGGCCTTCTCGGAAGTAGACCCACAACTATGGAACTCTCTCCTGCCCGAAGTGTGCCTGGCCCCTTCACTCGGCGCATTCAAAAAGCTATTAAAAACCTGCCTATTTAGACAGGCCTTCCCTGAACAAACAATACCCTGATACAATAGTGCTGGATAATATAACATCCATCATACGGCCATGCTCCATGTTTTTATATTTTTTTATGCTTTTAATTGTATTTATTGTATTGTATTTTTATCCTCACTGCGGGACAGATCCTGAAGCTGAGGCTCCAGTACTTTGGCCATCTCATGAGAAGAAAAGACTCCTTGGAAAAAATCTTGATGTTAGGAAAGTGCGACGGCAAGAGGAGAAGGGGACGACCGAGGATGAGTTGGCTGGACAGTGTCTGTGAAGCAACCAACATGAATTTGACACAACTCCGGGAGGCAGTGGAAGATAGGAGGGCCTGGCGTGCTCTGGTCCATGTGGTCACGAAGAGTCGGACACGACTAAACGACTAAACGAACGATCGACACACTTTATGACTTTTGATTTGTGCCCCTATGTATTGATGTTATTTGTTGGTGTTGTCTGTGCTTGCCCCGGTTGACGTTCTCGGAATTTATGACTTTTGATTTGTGCCCCAATGTATTGATGCTGTTATTTGTTTTTGCTAGTTTCTTGTTTGTGTTACACACACTTTATGAGTTTTGATTTGTGCCCCTAATGTCTTGATGTTACTTGTTGTAAACCGCCCAGAATGGCCTTGGCTGCCAGATGGGTGGTTGATAAATGAATGAATGAATGAATGAATGAATGAATGAATGAATGAATGAATGAATGAATGAATGAATGAATGAATGAATCTGAGCAGTGTGTCTGGTTCTTCTGGTGCTTTAGTCTCCACTGTTCTGTTGGTTAAGTTTGGATTGAGTGAGTTTGGCATATCTGAGGAGAGGATGGAGGAATGGGAAGGAAGGCTTAGATGTGAGCATAGGGCAGCCATGTTGCTTCTCTGCTGAGCTCACCTGTTTCACATTTCTTCTGCTTGAGAAGGAGTAGTTGAAATCAGTATGTAGCTCAGGTTGGGCAAGTTCATGCCCTTCGTGCAGTAAGTGCCAACAACGGCATTTCTGTCTTTCTAGTAGTAAATTTCTATGCCCTGGGTCAAAGCCTTAGTCACCTTGCCCTATTTATAACTCTGCTTAGAATCTAACAAGAAGGATACAAGGAGTCCATGGACTTCCAGATGTGCTTGGAGGCTGACATTTCCATGTAAGCATTTATACAATCCCTAATAAATGCAAGCATTGCTTCTTGGAATGACCACATGAAAAAGACAAACAGGCTGATAAGTTGCACTGAAAGGGAAATTTTAGTATAGCCGGCCACATAAGTTACACCAGCTGAAATTCCCTCTTGTGCCCAACTGTTAAAAATGCAAGAGGTTTATCTCAAAAGAATTGAGATATACATGTAAAGAACTTTTAACCAAAGATCAACTGCTAAAAAAATATATAGGAGTTGAAGGAAATGGGTCTACCAACAGACTAGTGGGCGATGCGGAAATTAGAATCAAGGTTTTTAAAAGATAAAATAAGGGCTTTTATGAAGGAAAGGTACAGGTGGATGATTTATGGATTTATATCAGTGATAAGGTTTTACAAAAAAGTATTCTTTTTTTGTTAGAATACTATTTAGAGGATGAAAGGGTGAAAGCAGCAATGATTAAATGGGCACACATTTTTGGTTACAATATAGACATAGGTGATTGGACTTGAATGTGGAATGATAACTATAAATGGATTAAGCCAGTAAATCTGAGAGAAATTGTCTTAAAGATGTTTTATAGATGGCATTTCATACCTGTAAAATTGGCAAAAATGGCATTGAGGGGTAGTAAGTCATATTGGCAGTGTGATAAGCAACCTGGGGCATTTTTCCATATGTGGTGGATATGTGATAAAGTAAAAAGATTTTGGAGACAAATAAAATATATTACAGTAGAAATTATATAACAAAAAAACCCTTTAAACCAGAAATGTTTTACTGAATATAATGACAGAAATTGCTAATAAAAATATTAAATATATGCCGTTATACATATTCACAGCTACAAGGCTGATTTGGGCCCCAAAATGGGGAAAATCAGGAGAACCCGAAGGTGGAGGAACTGATTAAAAATTATTGGATATTGCAGAAATGGATAGCCTTTCAGAAGCATTATGTGAAAACCCAAGAATATATGTTAAAGAAAGCTGGAAATTTTTCTATGATTGGGCCCTCTTTATTTATTTTTGCTTTTGTTTTTCCTCTTTTCTTCTATATGAATGTTCACCTGTGGTTCATGGATGTTATATGATGTTAAAAAAATAAATTTGAAAAAATGCAAGGGGTTACCAGGGTAGTCCTGGGTAAATCAAGAAAAATATTGCTGTGTAAATATAGTTATATGTCCATTCAATCATTTTATTTTTGGTCAAATGCCAACACTTCCCTGATTTAATTAACCACTACTATCTATATATCATCTACTTACTGCTATACTATATATGCACAACAGGGTCAATGCACAATGCTGTAGTAGCAGAAAAAACCATGGGATTCACATCAGAACATTTATTTTATTTATCATTTTGAATAAACTCAATATTTTCAGTAACACTAATATTCTGGGCTTTTTACAGTTTAACGAATTGAAACTACAAAATTCTTCGGCATCCTTCAGTCTTGAAAGACCATGGTAATGCCCTCTGTATGAGTGTCCTCTTCAGAGCACAAAGCCTGGGTAGAATAATACAGAGGATAGGCTGTTACCCAAGCAGCAAATCCCCCCTCTCCACGTTGCTGAAATAAGTGTAATACAAATGGAACATTTTCAAAAGCAGAAAACCTGTAGTGAAAAACTATGTCTAAAAGCTACTGAAATATGTGGATATTTAAGATTACACTTTCACCTGCTATAAATTTCTAGAGGAAAAGCCGTGGTGAAGTGTAGTCTGTCGCAGCAAAAATAACAAGTCTTGTGGCACCTTAACACAGGTGGCTTGAGAGTGGGGCAGCTCTTCCCCTGTGATGAAGAAACCCCATGACTCATGCAATTATCTATTGTATACCAAGTGGGAACACTCACCATACAACGGATAATACCCACAGGGGTTTCTTAACTTCAGGCAATTTGCCTCCAAATGTTATGCTGTGTGTGGTGTGCTAACATCAAGTTTCAACAGGATTTTGGCCAATGTTTTTAAATAATGCATATTGACTGAGCTCACTTGGTATTTTTATCTCAGTAAAAATGCATAAAGTCAGGATATTCTCTGTGC